TATTTTTGGTGTAATTGATCGGAACCCTGCGGCAACAGGGCTTTGGTCTTCAACTAATGGCAAGTAGCTGGCTTTCTATGGTTGCTGTGTTGAATCTAAGTATGTCCCTGAAAACATCGTTCTCACTTAGGGACTTTTCTTGGCACACCCAGCAAGCTTTGCCAGATCCCCAAGAGGCAAGTTCTCCTGTTCCTTGCACACCCTCGCGTTGGCTACGCATTGGTCAAAGCTAAAGCCTTGGTCCGCGCAGACTTGCACTCTGTCAACGCATTGGAGGAATTCCTGGATCGCAGTGTCGGGTTTCACTTGGCCTGTGCAGCGACGTGCGGCGTACAAGCAGGCACCCTTGTCGTTTCCAAGGCGGCCGCAGTGGTCCTGAAGCCGTTGATCTACTGACTTGGGCGACTGGGTGGACTTTTCGTCGGCTACAGTCATGATCTGAGAATCAGTATTAAGACCAGAGCCAGATGCCCCAAGATTTTCCATAATAAAAGGGATGTAGCTGCCAACCCTGGTATACACCGAGGGAGCCAGGTTGCAGATGGTATTTTGTGTATCCTTTATGCCCCATGACACGAGACCGATTAACTCTCCCGTTTCCGAGTCGATAAGAGGACCGCCGCTATCAAGCCTGCATATATTCTTGCCATCTCCCCCAGCGCACACTACTGTGTCTCTACCAGCCGCACCTGGGCTAAGGTTTGAACAGTCTTCGCGTGCGTGAACAGGAATGGCAACCTTGCTAAGTCTGTCAACTGGAGAGCCATATCCGCCGCCTGCGAAGTCTTGTGTGCCCCTTGCCTATTAGTTAGCTTCTATTCTGGTAGTGCTAATCTTAATGGCACTTACCAGCCTGCCACTGTTGCGATGGAATTGGCTACGGGATCCGAGCCGTTCGCCGGCAGCGTCGCATAGCCAATCGTCTCGCTCTTCTCAATCGGAGTTGATAATTTCAAGATGCCAATGTCATTAATACCAAAAGGACCAGATCCTTTACGCGAACCCGGTTCGTAATTAGGGTGCACCTTTCCGTATGCAACTTTTGCATCTACTCCACCTGTCTCATGACTCTGTAAAATTATTAGCTATATGCATCTTCTCACCATTTTGTCAGCCTCAATGAGGTACTAGACGCTCTGGTACCGAAGGGGATAACATGATGAATGAAATGTGGATAGAGCTACCAGCGTTCCTGCCTTCACGAAGAGGCCAAGACCTCCTCCATCTCCAATGCAATGAGCAGCGGTCAGAACAGTAGTACTGTCCAACAAGCTACCTCCGCAAGTATGAGTCCTCGCATTATCTTGGATACTGACGATGAATGGAAATTCGCCGTCCTTAGCATCTTCTCCGCCTACAATCCGCTTGTCGATAATTGCTACCGCTTCTACAGCAGCAGAAAACGCGGCGGTCAATGTAATAGCAACCTTGCGTACCATTCTAAAGACAGGAATATTTAATAGATTGCAAATTGTGGGTTTGTATAAGAGAAATGTTCAAGATAGCTCAGGTCAATATTGACTATGGGTCGCAACATAGTGATTTGGATGGGCAACGTGCTGTATTTATTATCCCACCTAATATATGCATTGAGACGTTGAAGCATTGAAGCAGCTTGAGATACTTGCAAAAATGCCCAAATATTGACGACTCGAGAGCATAATCCACGCCCCTATGCTCATCTCGGATCCAAGCATCTCGAATCTAAGCGAAACATCTTTGTGCAATCTTAAAAAGAGCAGCGATGGATACTGAGGTAGCCGAACATGTGAACTTCATGAGTCAGGCTCCCTGAAGACGCCGCCTCAAAGACAATACACTAAGCAGGTAATACGAAGGGTAGCCCGAGTATGGATAGATAGTCTGTCTCCTTCACTGCCAATCCGTAACCACCTGCAGGATCTGTGTCACACAAAAAGAACGCTCTCTTTGCGGAGCAATTAGTCTCACTTGTATTGTCTGGCATAGAATGGCCTTGTTGCGCTGACACAACAGGCTGTTCTTGGTCGCCTTATGCAGTGAGCTGTGGCCTAGGTACTTGCGGTGGAGGTGGCAGAATGCAAGGGATCTTAACGAAAATTGTTTGGGCGCATCACGAGTGGTAAAATTCATGCCCGTGGAGGACTCATTCGCGATTAGCCAAAGTGTCATGTCCGTCTAGCAATTCCCTTGTATAATCTAACCTTAGAATCTTTATTAATGCCTAAGAAGCAGGTGGTTTAAGCATGGAGTGGGCATGCGCCAGCCTTGGAGGGAGTGTGGGGGATCCGGCAAGCAAAATGAGTTTACAATCTCGGGTGATGAATCTGGGTTACGAGTCTGGCAATACAGTGTGAATTTATAGATGAACTGAAGGTCCTAAACTGGAGCATTAGGTGCTGTCGTCCAAGGGAGATCTCATGATAGTTGTTTATGAGAGGGTCAAGGGTCAAATTTCCCAACAAAGGGTGGACCGGGCACGAGCAGTCGTAATTTCGACACTACTAAATGGATGACTTGTTGCTGAAACTTTATAAAAGTTTAGCGATGCAAGCGGTGACTATTCATGATAGAAGGCTGCCAAGCTTATGCGTGTAGCGACTTGTAGCTGCGGCCTTTGGCGTTTCACGGTGTGGGATGTAGTCTAATTAAAGTGGGGCGTGGCACGAGTACTCGTCTCAAGAAACGGAAACCGGCATTCTCGACGGCCGACAATTGTCCAATCGGAACTTGGAGATGACACCTAATATTCCCTTTCGGGTAGTTTTGACAAAAATGTAAAGGTCACCCTGCCTCTTCGTGGAACAACAATCTACCCCCTGCTCCTGAACGCCCGTGCGGCTATATCCCGACTCCACAATGAGCTGTGGCAATGCGCTACCCGGTGGAATTCGAGCCTCACAGAGGCATTTCCCCAAGGGTACCAGAGCGACTCAGCACACTCCGTGCTAACTAGTACGCCATTAGGCTTGTCAACGCTGGATAATTACGCAATATGCTCAAGACCATGCGCCAAGAGGTATTGCAGATTAAGTAGGGATGGCAGAGTGGGAGCAGAGTAGGTATTCATACAACGTAGTTACTAGTCATTAATGGTTACTGTTGTTACGTTCTGAGACTCGTGTTAACTAAGCTTCTTCATAAAATCATTATTCTTGTTGTTCCTTGTCGTGCTGCAGACTCTGTCTGCAGCCCTCTGCTTAATA